TACACTAGCATGCGACAGGGACAAATGGAGATGTTACTGGCACCCGCTCAAGCAAATCGATGATTAACAGGAAGTCACGTGATCAAGTGATCAAGTTTTAAATAAAATATAAAAATAGCACAGGAGGGGCTGGAGCGATGGCACGGCTGCACAGGACTTGCGTGTGGCGGGTCCAGGCTGGATCCCCCGCACCCCAGACGGGTCCCCCCACCCGAGCCCCGCCAGGAGGGACCTCGGAGCACAGAACCTGGAGTCTCCCCTGAGCACCACTGGGCGCGGCCCAGAAACCCAAACCAAAACCGAAGGTGGCAGCAGGACCAACCCAAAGAGTTCGGTTCGGTCCCCCTACCCAGCTGAGTGAGCCCCCAGGGCAAGGGCCAGGGGCGCCGTTCTGACGTCCACCACGGGAGCCCAACACCGAGGCTGGAGGCAACACACGCTGGCCGGAGCGGCGGTGCCCGAGGGGTGCGCCGGGCGGCCTGGCCTGGCTTTGTTCCCTGACCCAAATGTCGCTGTGCGTGCCGTCGGGCTGTCCGGGGCCGGGCTGGGCCCTTGGTACCCCCGATGATCCCTGAGCCCCCCTGGAAGTGACACAGGAGACCCCGGTGAGGCGTGAGTCCCGAGGGCAGGTGTGCGGCGGGGAGAGGCGCCCCCTGACCCCCGTTTCTGGCTCCAGATCCCTGACCCCCAGCACCACCTCTGAGAAGTCTCCCAGGGTTGCTGACCGTCTCCGCCTTCATGCAAGGTGCACAGCCACGGGCCGGGCATGTGGTCAGCCCAAGCTGTCGGCTGCACGGAAGTTCCAAATCAGCCAGGAGCTCCCACGGCCTTGTGCCCACGGGCGGACGGGCGTGTCCCCGGCACTCCCTGGGAGGAATCAAAGAATTAACCCATTTCTTCTGGGTTCTCTTCTTTCTTGGCAAAAGGACTTTCTAAGTAATCTCTGATGATCTTTTGAATTTCTTTAGATTCTGTTGTGATGTCCCCCTCTTCATTCCTGATTTGGTTCATTAGGGTTTTCTTGCTCTAACTTTCATTGTGAGTCTTGGAAGTGGTTCATCAACCTTATTTATTTATTCAAAGAAGCAGCTCTTGGCTTCATTGATGTTTTAGATGGATTTTTGGGAATTCAGCTCATTGACTTCTGCTCTGAGTTTTCTGATTTCTTTCCTCCTGCATGGTTTTGGCTCCTTTTATTGGTCATCTTCTAAGTTCTAAAGCTGTGAAGTCAAGTTCTTGATGTGGGCCCTTTCTTCCTTCCTGAGAAATGCCTTTCGAGCTATAAATTTCCCCTGCGCCAGTGCTATCATTATGTCCCACAATTCTGCTAGCTTGTGTCTTCTTTCTCATTTGTATCCGGGAATCTTTTGATTTCTTAATTTCCTCTCTGACCCACTCATTGGTCAACATTGAGCTGTTTGATTTCCAGATGTTTGTTTTGATTCTCCGTTTCTGTGTGTGATTAACTTCTATCCTCAGTGCATCATGGTCTGATAAGATAATTGACGCTGGCGTCAGGAGGGGGGTTTCCTAGATAGTTCAAAGGGGGTGTCCCCTGTGGGTCCCTAACATGGTGCCGGTAATCGGGAGGCTAAGAAATGCCCTCATCCATCAGGGGTGTGCGTCCGCCAGGATTAGGATCCTGGGGATCCCTCTGGTGTCACCTGGTGGAAACCCCCCCTAGGTTTCACTCCAGAGGTCCACAATTGGGGGTTGTTGGAGAGCCCCCTCTTGACAGCCAACTGGGGTTACCCTTCTGGAATTCACGAGGGGGAGACACTGAGGAGCCCCCTTGTGCCTGGCAGGCACAGGTCCCCCATGGAGCCACCTGCTGGCATCCAGTAGGGGCAGGTGGAGCCCCATCAGGCCAGCCAGCCTGGGTCTCTCCTGGGGTCTCCTGCTTTTGGCAACGAGGGGGGATGCGTGAGAGCCCCTTGGATAAGCCAGGTTGGGTCCTCCCTGGATTTACATGCTGATAGCGAGGGTGGCATTGTGAGAGCCCTCTCTGGTGGGCCAGGCAGGGGCTTCCTGGGGAGCCCTTGGCTCTGTGGCTTAGTGCAGGCATAGACCTCACCCCTCCAAGTTCCTGGGACTCTGGTCCTGTCTCCGTCCCCTACGTCCCCCTTGATTTCTGTCCTTCCCTTGTTCTCAAGAATCTATTGTCTGGAATAATCTAGGTGCCCCCCCCCCCACTTTATATCCTGCATTTCCTCATTCTTTTACCCCAATACCACAGATGAGTGAGCTAAATTCCCTTCTTGGCCCTGTGCAAACTTCTTTCCTCAATAAAATTCACTATTAAAAGTTTAAAAGGTGAGCGCACACTGGGGACTGAGGTAGATGAATTGCTGAAGTCCAAAGGGGCAAACTTGCTGTCACGAGAGGGTACTGGGTCGGCCATTCTCACTCGGTGAGAACAGCCCATCCTGTCCTTCTCTGAGAGCAGAGGAGGTGCGGTTCCGAGCAGGACCGCGCGTGGCCACTGCCCACTTCTCCCCAGGAGGCTGGACACTGCAGGAAGTGCTGGTGGGGAGGGACCCCTGCGCTGGCGTTGCCCCGGGCTGCTGTCCCAGGTATAAGAGCTCCGACATGCCAGGCTCGGGTTCGGAAAGTCCCACTGCTCCATGCATGCCAGTAGAGTGCGGGGGGGGGGGGTCCAGGACACCCAGGGAGGCAGGACGGGCAGGAGGGGACCCCGGGGACTCTGAACGCCTCATCTCTGCCCAGCGTAGCCCCCCTGAGAGGGCCACCACCCCCAGGGCCACCCGGGATGCTCATGCCCCACAGGACCCAGTTCTAGTACAACGTGGATGGGTTCAAGGCCAGTGGGTCCCACGGCAGACAGGGGGCAGGTGGTTGAGAGCCTGATGGGGACTTCTTCCGTTCTCCTGAAATCCCTCCCTGAGCTTTGAGAGTCCCACATGGGGCCTCTTCTGGGAGCGGCTAAGTAGCAGCAGCGTCACTGGATGTCACACTGAGAGGGGTCCCGTGCCTCAGCAGTGAAGCCCCCTACAGAGGCACTATTCTCCTTGCTGTATATGGGGAAACTGAGGCTGAGAGGAGGGGTCGCGGTGGTGAGTCAGGCGCTTCACTTGAGTGTCAGGGGTCACTACCACAGGAAAGGCCATTCACATGAAGAGGCCAGGCTGGAAGAGGCGCCCCATGGCCGGCTGGAGAGCCCCGGTCCTCCTCTCTGGAAGCCTGACTCAGGGAGTGTCCACTCTCTGAAGGCAGCCGGAGGAGAGGCCACGAGCGCACGAATGCCTGAGAAGCCAGAGTATGGCATCCTTCTGTCAACGAGCTGTGCACCAAACCCCCTCTCGACTCATCTCTCGGGACCCCGCGAGTGGCCCCTCACTCTGGGGTCAGGGGCCGAGCCAGGTCGCTGAAGCCCTCGCTAGGGCAGATGCATCTCGGGAAGGATCTGCTCAGTTCCGAGAAGCTGCAGAACGCTCTCCAGTCTGATGCTCCAGTCTCCCTGCTTCTGAAACAGGACGAAAGCACTTTGATCCCTTCCTGCCATGCTCTTCTTGGCCCCTTTCACCACAGACAAGTTCTCAAAGTAGAAACCTCGTTCAGTCTCTTCCCCTGGGTATTTCCCCATTGAACAGAGCATAAGCCTAAAACCAGGGGTTGGATGTGGTTGAGTGGGTCGGTCCTGGCACCACAGAGGGTCCCCTGAGCCTTGCCAGGAGTGAGCCCTGAGCACAGAGCCAGGAACGAAACCTGAGCACAGAGATAGGAGTAACTTGGAGCAGAGTCAGGAGTACGCCTTGGGCACAGATCCAGGAGTGACCGGGAGCACAGAGCCGGGAGTAAGCCCTGAGCACAGAGCCAGGCGTGAGCCCTGTGTGCAGCCTTTGTGGCCCCCAAATAAGCAAGCAGAAAACATCCTAGTTTTTTCCTTTGTTCCTTCCCGCAAGGAGATGTGGAGAACGCAGGAGAGGTTGGGAGGCGGGAGTAAGGTGCGCAGAATTATTTCATACGCGCCAGTACTGCGGATTCAGGGGACATTTCACCCTCTGGCACAGTGGGGAACACCCCGAAATACCCCTCCCCAACGGTTCCCGCCTTCGTCGTTATTGGGTCCCCCGTGGCGCTCTGTGGGCTCATTCTAAGGGCGCAGGCGAGTGTCAGGTCGCATGCAGGGTCCCCAGTGCTCTGCTCGCCAGCCTCGACTTCGAGCAGCGGGGAGGGGCGCGGCGGGGCTGGAGAGACACTTTGGTTCCTGAAGGACAGCGACTCACTTGCTCCCTGTGATTTGAATCCTGTTCTGGTTTAGCTAATCCTGGCATTTCCCGGTGTCAGCCAGCTTCCTCGCCAGCGCAAGCAAATGCAGTAGAACCAATTCCGCATCGGGAGCGCAGACAAGAGTCCAGAAGGGCCTTTGCCCCCAAAGTGGTGAGCAGATGCCCCGCCGGTCACCCTGGTTTACGGGAAAGAGCTGGCGGGTTGCAGAGCTCGGGAAGGCGGAGGCGAGGGGCCGCTCCGGGGGCCTGGGTGCCGCTCCCGGACGGTCCCCACCTGCCCCGCCAGGCCCTGGGCGCACCTCTCCAGGGTCGGGCGCACCAGGACCTGGGCGCGCCCCCCCTTCCGCTCAGTCCCCACCTTCCCCGCCAGGCCCTGGGCGCGCCCCCATTTCCCCATTTCCTTACCGGAGCCCAGAGCGCGCCCCGCAGTCCCCGCTATCCCTGCCCGGCCCCGGGCGCGCCCGTCCCCAGGTGCCCACCTGCCCCGCCAGACCCTGGGCGCGCCCCTCCCGGCCGGGGCCCACCAAGACCCTGGGCGCGCCCCGCTTCCGCTCCGTCCCCACCTGCCCCACCAGGACCCTCGGCTCCGCCCACCTTTGCCCCCTTCCCTACCAGAGTCCAGAGCGCGCCCCTCTCCCCCACCTTCCCCGCCCGGTCCAGGGCGCGCCCGCCCCGCCCCGTGCCCACCTCCTGCCCCGCCTTCCAGGAAGTGCAGCCCGGCCCGGGAGGCCGGCCGGACCCGCCCCGTCCCTCCCTCGTCCTCCCGCTATAAGGGGGCAGGTCGGGCCGGACCGAACCGCAGACCCCACTGAGGAGCAGGTAGAGCCCCGGGGCCGGGGGGCTGGGCGGGGCGCGGGGACAGTCCTGCTTTGGGCCCCGCAATCCCCGCTGGGCACCGCCCCCGCCTCCATGCGCAGCCTGGGGGTCGGGAAACCCCGCCCTGACCGTGGTCTCTGCGCTGTGGGGGTCCAGGCTGGGCTTGTCCCTTCCCGCCCACCAGAGCCTCCGCCCCTGCTCGGTGGCCCGAACCAGTGAAGGCGGGAGCGGCCCGAGTCGCGGTCAGCACTGACCCCTTCCGGAGGGTTCCTGTTTCCTGGCCCCCTGCGGCCCTGGGGACACTGACCGCGCCAGGCGGGACCAGGCGTGGCAGTGGCCCTTAGAAGGGGTTGCGGGGGAGACTTGGGTCCCCCGCAGCCGAGCTGCTCTGCAGACCCCCGGGCAGTGCTGGTTAAGCTGGGGGCTGGGGGAGGGGATGTAGGGTGAGGTGTGGGGTTCCCTGGTGGCCTCACTGGCGGGCTGGACCAACGCCTCTCTTCTGTCCCCAGCCCGGTGACCATGGAGCCGCTGAGCGCAGCCAACGCCCTCTTCGCGCTGGACCTGTTCCGCGCCCTGAGCCAGGACGACCCCGCCGCCAACATCTTCTTCTCCCCCTTCAGCGTCTCCTCGGCGCTGGCCATGGTCTTCCTGGGCACGCGGGGCAGCACCGAGGCGCAGCTGGCCAAGGTCAGGCCAGGGCGGGCTGCTCCCTGCTCTCTGACATCGGGGTCACGGGTGCCGGCGGGGGGCAGAGGGGAGAGTCCCAATCCGGGCCAGGATGGTCCTTCATGGCATGCCAGCAGCGGGCTGGGGCCAGCACTGGGCACCCAGGCTGGGCAGGCCTGCAGGTGTCTGAGGCAGGCATGTGGACAACTGTCCCCGGGGGCTCTCTGGCCCAAGACCCTCTGGCTCCCTCCTAGCTCGGTGCTCAGGGTCACTCCCGGCTCTGTGCTCGGGGCCCCCAATGCAGTGCTAGGGTTAGAACCAGAGTCAGCTGCGGGCAAGGCACCACCTTCGTCCTTCTCCCCCTACCCCCTCATCATTTCTTGGGCCCTGAGCCACAGTCGATGGGGTCACTACTGTGCTGTGCTGGGCAAACTCCAGCTCTGGTCTGGGGACCCCCGCTTCCTCTGGGCCTGGGCAAGGTGCTCAGCAAGGAGAGTCCCTGGAACACGCCTGCTCAATCCCTGCCCGCCCCGACACTGGGTGTGGGCGCCCAGCCCGGGGCTCAGGTCGTGGGTTTGTTCCTGCTGCGAAGCGTCTACTCCTGACCTTCATGGAAGCTCGAACCCTCCTGCCACCACACTTCCCTCTTGCAGGTAGACTCAGCTGCTAGCCTGTTTCTTGCTGGCAACAGGCCAATTATAGCAGCTATGCAAACATTCCCTCTCGAGGGAACACCGGACTTCGTACTCATAGGGTTTTCTTCTTCCCCTCTCAAGTAAGGAACCAGCTGAGTCTGTAAAGCCCTAACGAACTCTTGATTTGAAATCGATTCACAGGAAACTAGACTTTTGCCATATTCTCAGGCTAAACAAGCTGTTTTTCGCTTTTTGGGTCACACCCGGTGATCCTCAGGGGTTACTCCTGGCTCATGCACTCAGGAATTACTCCTGGCGGTGCTTGGGGGACCATATGGGATGCTGGGAATTGAACCCGGGTCGGCCGCATACAAGGCAAACGCCCTCCCCGCTGTGCTATCGCTCCAGCCCCTAAACAATCTGTTTTTCAACAAGTGAGTTACTGCTGCTCTCTGAGTGATGAAGAGGAAGTCCAAGGTCTTGTGCTCCTGCATAAGCGTTTCTGATTGCTGATGTCTGAGAACCTTGAGTCAAATTATATTTAAGAGCAATAAGCATAGAGCCCGCTCATTTGGGTTTTCTTGGGGGAAAAACGCAAATTTGTAGAACTATTTAGTTTACTAACTCTCCTATTTGTGGGATTACAATTATAACCAAAACGGATGCAGAAGCTGTTTCTAATGTTTGAATTCTCATGTTTCACGACACGATCTATTTTGTATTCTTTATCATTTGTTCTCCCTGGAAAATAAGGTGTTTGGGGGCTGAAGAGATAGTCCGTGGGTGAGGTGCTCTCCTTGCATGAGATTGGCCCAGAATCAGGCCCAGGATCCTGCCACCCCAATATGGCCCCTGAGCACTGGAGGAGTGATCCCTGGGTTGAGAGCTGGGAGTAATCCCTGGGCACCACCAGGTCTGGCCCCAAAACCAACACAAAAATCATAATAATGTGTTTATAGGAAAATCGTCCCTGAATGTAATTTGAGGACAGCAACGGCAAGGTATTACATTGTAACAAAAAGTAAACAGGTCCAGAAAGAATGTGTCCTTTTTTTTTCCCCTTTTTTTGCTTTTTGGGTCACACCCGGTGATGCCCAGGAGTTCCTCCTGGCTCATGCACTCAGGAATTACTCCTGGTGGTGCTTGGGGGACCCTATGGGATGCTGGGAATCGAACTTGGGTCGGCCGCATGCAAGGCAAACGCCCTCCCTGCTGTGCTATTGCTCCAACCCTGACCTTTATTTCAGACCCTTCATTTCGACACGGTGGAGGAGATTCACGCAAGATTCCAGAGCCTGAACGCCGATATCAACAAACGTGGCGCTTCCTACATTCTGAAACTCGCCAACAGGCTGTATGGCGAGAAAACCTACGACTTCCTCCCCGTGAGTACTTGGAGCTGCGTTCTGCACTTCCCGGGGCTGTGGGGAGATTTTCCCACACACTCACGCTAAGAAGTCAGCTCGGATTTGTAGAAGTGTTTAGAAAATGATGCACGTTTAAAGCCCAGTGGCCGCTGTCCCCTGCTCATTGATGGGGTTCATTTCTGGGTCCTGAGGGGGGAGGGTTGAACCCCAAATGCTCTCTGAAGGCCACACTAATTCCAGCTCTCCTCAGCTGTGACAGCATTTGTGTGTTGATGAAGATTTTAGTCAGAGTTTAAGGAGGAATTGGTTCAGTTTTAAAAAACACTGGAACTCTGCATTTTAAAATTCTGTTAACACTGTAGATGTATGTGTGTATGTGTGTGTGTGTGTGTGTGCGTGCACACACGCGCATATTTAACAAATGAGTAGAAAAGCTAGAATATGTTAGTGACAGTGAAATTTATTTTCTTAGGGAAATTTTTGTGGCATTGAAAGATGTAAGAAAAGTGGTTCTGTATGTCATTGCATTTATTCAGGACATTTCTGTCTTTCCTCCTCCTCCTCCTCCTCCTCCTCCTCCTCCTCCTCCTCCTCCTCCTCCTCCTCCTCCTCCTCCTCCTTCTTCTTTTTCTTTTTTGTAAACAGGAGTTCTTAACTTCGACTCAAAAAATGTACAGTGCTGAACTGGCCGGTGTGGACTTCCAGCACGCAGCTGAAGATGCAAGGAAGGAGATCAATGCGTGGGTCAAAGAGCAGACAGAAGGTAAGACCAGGACCAACCACCCACCCTCCCCTCAGAGCCACAGCAGAGTCACTGCACTGAAACTCAACGCAACGTCACTGAAGACACTATCTATTTCCCATCCCGAACATCCACACCATATTTTTCAAATTATGAAATGTTGAATGTAGGTAGAAGAAATAAAACTTGGGGAGGGAATACAGTGGGTGCCGCATTATTCAATACTCACATGCAGAGGGTCACCTTGAAATGGTGAATCAGTGTTTCCAGTCTCTGGGATCTTCCTTGCATCTTCAGCTGCATGCTCGAAGTCCACATTTTTCTTTCCCCAACGTCACATCTAAGAAATGAGACGTGGTAGGCGGGAGTCAGTCTTAGCAGATCTCACTGAGGCTGGGGGTGACTCGGGGCCCTCAGTTCTTTCATGGAGAATCCACAGCCTGTGGGACCAGCCACGTGTGGTCGTATGGGGTGCCATAGTTCTGTATGACGCTCTCCTGCATGGTGGATATTTCTCTTTCTCTCCAGAATAAACTTCCTGCTGGAGTGATGGGACAGCAGGGAGGGCATTTGCCTTGCACATGGCCGACCTGGGTTCAATCTCCGGCATCCCATATGGTCCCCCTGGCACTGCCAGGATCATTCCTGAGTGCAGAGCCAGGAGTCACCATGAGCATCACCAGATGTGATCCCAAAAAAGCCATAAAAAAAAAGGAAAACCAATAATCCTGAAGGAGTTGAAGAACTGATACTAGTGATTAAGAACATCTCGTGGAAAAGTAGTTTGTGTTCCTGAAAAGGATAACTCTTCACAAAACAGGCTGACTGGGGATCACAGTCTGTAGAAGGAGGAGACTGTCTGGCTCTCCAGCCCTGTGCACGGGGCCACGGGTCACCCTGACCGCCTCAGGAGTTGGCCTGTTCCACGGAGATACAAGCCCCTCTTTTCCCAACTTAGTACCCGTGGAAGGAAAAGGAAACAGAATGAATGTACTTGCATTGCCTGTCCGTGCCCCTGAAGGTGCATAGCGACATTTAAATTCTCATCTATGTTTTTCACACACACACACACACACACACACACACACACACACACACACACACACACGCACAAAAGGCTATTTTTTTTTTATTGATCATTTTAGGGAAAATCCCAGAACTGTTGGCCGCAGGGGTGGTTGACAGCATGACCAAGCTGGTGCTGGTGAACGCCATCTACTTCAAAGGGAAGTGGCAGGAGGAATTCTCAAAGCAGTCCACCACGGAAGTCCCTTTCAGGCTGAATAAGGTGAGAATCTGGGGGTGGGGGTGGTAGGTGGTGACTGTCCAGACACCCTGAGCTCTGGGGGGCAGGGGAAGGGAGAGCAGTTGTTAAGGGGCACTTGATTTCTCTTCTGTACAGAAAGACACCAAAACTGTGAACATGATGTTTCAGAAGAACAAGTTCCCCCTGGGCTACATCGAGGCCCTGAAGTGCCGCGTGCTGGAACTTCCCTACCAGGGCGAGGAGCTCAGCATGGTCATCCTGCTGCCCGATGACATTGAAGACGCTTCCACGGGCCTGAAGAAGGTGACGGGCCTCGCTCCGGGCTTCCGGGAACCCGGCTCTTCCCGGTCGGATCTGCCGGCCCGTGATGGCTCACTGCCTCCACTTTTCTTTCTTATCTTTTGTCCTTCCATGATCAGCCCTATGAAAACTAGCAGTGAGGGGACATTTGGCTCGGCTGTGCCAAATGTCAACGGGTCATCAGCAGGGCATGGCGACTCTCTCCAAGGGTCTTGAGCAACGAGGACCAGAACATAGGGTCGTTGCTGTTGAAACAGTTGCAGGAAGGAGCTGCATCGTAGAGGCTCAAGCCCTGTTCTCCGCACTCATTCTCACCCCAGTTCATCAGAAAGCAGACTGTGAATGACCTTTCAGATAGCTCTATGGCAGAAATAGGGCCATAGGCTAGCTCCTGGCTGAGCACTTGTTCTGCAGGGGTGAGAGCCTGGGTTGGATACTCACTGAGAGAGAGAGAGAGCGAGAGCGAGAGAGAGAGAGAGAGAGAGAGAGAGAGAAGGAGAGAAAGAGAGAGAGAGAAAAGGAGAGATGGAGAGAGAGAGAGAGAGGACAGGGAGAGGAGGAGAAGGCAGGCAGGCAGGCAGGGATGCTTGTGCCATGGTTTGAGAATGAAGCCTGTTCCCTAATATGAATTTGACATTCCTTCTACAAGTGATTTGGAGGCTGTGGCCTCTCTTACCAGGCTGGAGCGTTAGCACAGTGGTAGAGCATTTGCCTTGCATGCAGCCAACATGGCCAACTCGAATTTGATTCCTCCACCCCTCCCAGAGAGCCCGGCAAGCTACCGAGAGTATCTCGCCTGCACAGCTGCGCCTGGCAAGCTACCCGTGACGTATTCGATATGCCAAACACAGTAACAATAAGTCTCATGATGGAGACGTTACTGGGCCCGCTCGAGCAAATTGATGAACAACGGGAGGACCATGACCGTGACTGGCCTCTCTTACCAGGGCTGGTACCAGCGAGATAAAAGAAAAAAAAACACGCACACACCAAACCCACATCAGGTTTCTTTGGTGTCTCTTCTTGCTGTTTGGTTTTTCTCTTCTCTTCCCTACTCAACCTTGTAGTCTGGAAATCAGGAGGGATTACCATGTGTGCATTTAGAGGATGAGTTAAAATCAGAGTCTCTCCTCTTCGCATTCTGTTTTCCTTCTCTTGTCTGATCAGATGAAAGTCCCATGGAGGGAGCAGCCGCAGGATTGTCAGCGGGATGCTGGTTCCGTCCAGCCCACTGGCCGTGCCTTGAGGGCCATGACAATAGGGGGTACTTTGAGAGGTGCCAGGTGCTTTATGAGCCTTGAGTCACTGAATGCGATGAAGTTGGCACTACCATTACTCTCCTTTTGGTCATGAAACTAGATCTTTTTCTATTTTTCACTGGGTTACTGGCAGTTGCTTTAGCTCCGTAAGGCTCACAGGGCAACACAGTCATCAGAACAGAGCGGGAAAAATGAGCAGAAGAAACTTTTACATTTTCCCCTTGTCTCCTGAGCTCATTATCTGATGTGTAAGCTGGCCACCCTGGCCCTCACTGGGATGGGTGGGTGGGGAGGTGACTAGCTGGATGGATGACGAGTGGTTTATGGGTGGGTGGGAGGTGACTAAGAGGCTGGATGGGTGATGAGTGGTGGACATGGAGCCATACCAGAGCCCTGATAGGAGCAAACGCAGCTGCCGTCTCATCAGCACTTGCTGAGATAAATCTGCACTGGACACCCAGGGAACCCAGAGCAACTGATTGTACAGATCCCTTCATCTAATTGGGGCTTCCTCGACGGGTAAAATGGTCTCCAACTCTTTCGTTTGCCCGTTCAAATTCCAGATCGAGGAGCAGCTGACTTTGGAGAACCTGACGGAGTGGACCCGGCCCGAGAACATGCCCGTTGTGAAAGTCAACGTGCACCTGCCCAAGTTCAAGCTGGAGGAGAGCTACACCCTCAACGAGGCCCTGGCCCGCCTGGGGCTGCGTGATCTCTTCGACAGCAGCAGGGCTGACCTGTCGGGCATTGGGGGGGCCCGCGACCTTTTCATTTCCAAAGTGGTGCACAAGTCCTTCGTGGAAGTCAACGAGGAGGGCACTGAGGCGGCGGCGGCCACGGCAGGCATGGTTATGCTCTGCATGGCGGTGCAGGAGGAATTCTTTGTCTGTGACCACCCCTTCATCTTCCTGATCCGTCACAAGGCCTCTGGCACCATCCTGTTCCTGGGCAGATTCTCCGCCCCCTAGAGAGGGGACGGCACAGGTCAAGCACCAGCCTGGTGAAGTGTCCTTCTGAGGTGATAGTTTTCCTGTGTCTTTACCAATAAAACGACTACCCAAACCTCAGTTTTAATTCCATTTATTCGACACTGTTGGTCATTGACACCCATGGGCTTTGGTGCAAGAATCGCTTTCATATATTTAATATTGAAAAAAATAGTGATGGCATTTGAATGCATTAAGTTAATGAAAATATCAAGGAAGAGACCAAATTCCTTTTTTTTTTTTTTTGCTTTTTGGGTCACACCTGGCTCTGCACTCAGGAATTACCCCTGGCAGCGCTCAGGGGACCATATGGGATGCTGGGAATCAAACCCGGGTCACTGTGTGCAAGGCAAACGCCCTACCCGCTGTGCTATCACTCCAGACCCCCAAATTCTTGATAGTATTGGGGTTTATGGAATCACTGTCTTCTCCCAATGGTAGGAAAAATAGAACAATTGTGTAATTTATTTTACAGGGGGAAGTTTGGGGATAATGACATGGAGACACTCCAGTTGAATGGAGGTTTAGAAAGAACTGCTCAGTTGAAAGACAAGATAATACCCTGAGCCAGGCTGGGTGGGAGGTTAGAAAATGACACTTGGCCGATGTCCTGCCATTTGTTCTAAATAACGAATTCTATCGCAATGCTCCACCTTAGAATTATTCATTAAAGAGCCTCCTCTTTTATTCTTCTTTATTTTTTATTTTATTTTATTTTTTTGCTTTTTGGGTCACACCCGGCGATGCCCAGGGGTTACTCCTGGCTCATGCACTCAGGAATTGCTCCTGGCGGTGCTCGGGGGACCATATGGGATGCTGGGGATCGAACCAGGGTCGGCCATGTTGGCTGCGTGTAAGGCAAACGCCCTACCCACTGTGCTATCGCTCCAGCCCCTTATTCTTCTTTATCCTACATGATAGTTTATAGGGATACCAGGGAATATCATAACAGGAAGATACACAGCAGAGAGGGGCTACACTCACACCATTGGTTTCTGCACAAGCTCTTGACTCCACCATCTGCACAAGTTTTTATGTGGAATGGCTTGATTTGGGACCAAAGCAGTAACCAGGAAGGACTCTGATTGAGAGAAACCTCAAAGCTTTCCATTGCAGTAACAGTTAAAGGAGACCCAGCATAGAGTCATTCTCGATATTTGGCAACCAAGACAACACAAGACCCTCCCATTTACAGCTTGAGTGCCTTCCCTGATACCGGAACCACTTAGAGGGGCGAACAAAGACTAAGAGAGAACACCTTGTGCTCAGAGATGGTTTGGGTCAGATGGACATTTTCCTGCCCTGCAGTTCTGTGGTCGGCCTGTCTCAGGGCTGCTCTCAGCAAACCCTGGACTGCAGCTGGGTGGGGCCCAAGGGTGCATGCCCTCTCCCCCCTCCCACTTCCATCCGGCCCTCCCCTGGGGCCCAGAGCTTCCTTCCTTGACGCTGCCAGATGGAGTTCAGCCCTTTTCTGGTTTCTGCCCGTCCAGACACGCAGCTGGTCATGTGCCCTCCATGATGGTCTGGGAGACTCCCAGGAAGTGAAGCAGCGTCTCTGCAAGCCTCCCGCCCGCAAGCTTTCTTTCCTTCTCTTGATCTTGAAAGAGTTACTGGCGTCGATCATATGCTGGGGTGGTTTCAGGAAATCCAACAAAGCGGGATCCCCTTGCTCTAGAACTTTCTCTTCTGGCTCTGCAGCCTAAGACCTACTCAGGGTTCAGAGTTAGTGATGCTTATTGGGTGGAAACGGAATCACTCTCCAGACAACTCTGACTCATCTTCCAAGTGTCAACAGGGGAACAAGCGCAGGAATTTGCTGACGTGCAAACAAGTGGTCAGTCCCAGAGCTGAATGTCTGCATGAAAGATTCACTGCTGGTGGGAATGCCGACTGGTCCAACCCTTTTGGAAAACAGTATGGACGATCCTCAAAAAATTAGAAATTGAGCTCCCATTTGACCCAGCAATACCACTCCTGGGAATATATCCCAGAGAGGCAAAAAAGTATAGTCGAAGTGACATCTGCACTTGTTTGTTCATTGCAGCACTCTTTACAATAGCCAGAACCTGGAAGAAACCTGAATGCCCAAGAACAGATGACTGGTATAAGAAACTTTGGTACATCTACACAATGGAGTACTATGTAGCTGTTAGAAAAGATGAAGTCATGAAATTCACATACAAGTGGTACCACATGGAAAGTATCATGCAAAGCAAAATGAGTCAGAAAGAGAGGGATAGACATAGAAAGATTGCGTTCATCTGGGGGACATAAAGTAACAAGATAGGAGATTAATACCCAAGATCAGCACCAGGAGGATTACTCCATAGCTCAGGGGCCAGCCAGGCATTCTAGGGGAAAGGGCAGCTCAGATAGAGAAGGGAGCACCAAATAAAGGGTGTTGTGAAGATCCTCCCAGGGTGGAAGAAGCATGCTGAAAGTAGACTCTAGACCAAACATGATTGCCACTCAATGCCTCTTTTGCAGACCACAACACCCAAAAGGAGAGAGAGAGAAAAAGGGGGGGGGGAGCCCTGCCATAGATGCAGGGTGGGATGGGGGGATGGGGGGAGGGATGCTGGGACCCATGGTGGTGGAAGATGGGCGCCGGTGGAAGGATGGGTGCTTGATCATTGTGTGGCTGAAACCCAAGCACAAAGGTTTGTGGGTCTGTAACTGTACCTCATGGTGTTTCACTAATAAAAAAAAAAAACAAAAGATGCTCATGGGGGGGCAGGAGCGAAAGCGCAGCAGGGAGGGCGTTTCCCTGGCTCGTGGCTGACCCTGGTTTGATCCTCAGCATCCGATAGGGTCCCCCCATCACCGCCAGGAGTCATTCCTGAGTGCAGAACCAGGATAACCCCTGAGCATCACTGGGTTTGACCTCAAAAATCAAACAAACAATAATTTAAAAAAAATTTTTTTAAAGATGGCCATGGAGAAGTAGGCTGCTCAGATCTCTTCAATCCTATTTGAGAAATAAATAAAGCATTAGCAGGAGGCCAGTGAGAGAGGCCAGGAGCCCTGGGATCTGGGAATTGGACTTCCTGGGCAATTCCCAGTGCAGAAGACGCCAAGAAGTGCAGCGGGATGTCGGCAAAATCCAGGGTCTGGTAGCCCAGTCAGTCTGTCAGGGCTCCTGTCACTCTGTTAGGGATTTTAAAACTGGACCCTGCACATCCCAATGAACAGGATTGTGAAATCCTCTTGATGGAGGCACATGCCGGGTGCAGTCAGTAAACAAACTCATGAGCCCCAGGTAACTCCAGGTACACCCTGAAGTTGAGCCTCAAGTTTAGAGGGCAGAAAGAGCCAGCCTGGTGGAGACGGGGTGGGCAGTGCTAAAGAATAAGGTCCTGTCCTGTCCTCCTGTTGTTCGAGCGGGCCCAGTAACATCTCCATTGTGAGAGAGAAGTCTCCATTGTGAGACTTCTTATTACTGTGTTTGGCATATTGAATCCTCTCGGTAGCTTGCCAGGCTCTCCGAGAGGGGTGGAGGAATCGAACTCGGCTCAGTCGGGCGGGCTGGCTGCGTGCAAGGCAAACGCTCTACCGCTGTGCTATTAATAGAAAGACAATATCTCTCCTCCCCTCACTCCGCTCCCTTTCTGTTTAATACCCAGAGGTCGTGCTCTCACCACCATGCTCTGGCTCTAGGATAATCTGACTTCTGAAAGGTGGATGTGGGCTGTCAGCTGTACTGTGGCACCCAAAGCTGCCCACACCTGCCCTTTGAGGCAGACTGATCCCTCCGCCCCTGAGAATAGTCACAAAACACAAACTGAATCTGAACCAGGTGGTGGTGGTATTTGAAATAATTTTAGAGCCTTGTTTTTCAGCTGGAATCACAAGAGAGCAAGTTTACATTCTTCTCGTCAAACTTCACCCCTACTTTTTTTTTAGTAATACATAGATATTACCTTATGCACCCTTAAAAAAAAAAGAAAGAGGGGCTGGATCGATAGCACAGTGGGTAGGGCACTTGCCTTGCACGCGGCCAATCCAGGTTCAATTCCCAGCACCCCATATGGTCCCCCAGCACCGCCAGGAGTAATCCCTGAGTGCAGAGCCAGGAGGAACCCCTGTGCATTGCCAGGTGTGACCCCCCCCAAAAAAAAAGCAAAAAAAAAAAAAAAGAATAAGGTAAGCGCCTCAGGAGGGGTATCACGGGGTCTCAGGAGAACTTCTCCTACCCCATGCTGTTCTCAAGCTTTTACAACCGGCTCCATCTGAGTCCCAGGGTCAAACAACACAGCCCAGCCCAGGACCTGCCCAGCCTGTGGCCCTGAGCCGCTCCCAGGAAGACACGTCTCAGTGACAGGGGTGAGGGAGTGGGGCTGGGAACCTGCAGATCCTCTGGGCCCTGCTCCTCTCCGGCTACCCCAAACCCGGGACAACCAGAAAAGTTTGGCCTGGAATCGGACCACCCAGAGATGTGTGAAGGAAGTGAAGGAAGAACACGGCAGAGGGGAGTGAGAACCTTCCCTGGGAGAAGACCCAGAGTCCTCAGGCTACTTTCACCATCCGATTCCAAACACAACAGTCAACACGCAGCCAGAGAGGAGTGGGTGGTGAGAAGGAGCATCAACAGGGACAATAAAAGGAAGCGGAAATAAAACCTTGAGGGCTGGAGCAATAGCACAGCGGGTAGGGTGTTTGCCTTGCACGTGGTCGACCCGGGTTCGATTCCCAGCATCCCATAGGGTTCCCCCGCCAAGCACAGCCAGGAGTAATTCCTGAGCGCAGAGCCAGGAATAACCCCTGTGCATCGCTGGGTGTGACCCCCCAAAAAACCAATAAATAAATAAATAAATAAATAATATAATAAAACCTTGAGACTTGTTCTGGGCCTTGGATGTGTCCATAAATTCTGGCATCAGGCCCCCATGATACCCCACTGGGATTTCTAAATTTTAAACGATGTATTTTAACGTTTTGGTTTTTATTCTTGGTTCATACTCAGTGGCCCTCAGGGTTTACTCCTGGTAAGGTCCTGGGGGCCATTTGTGGTGCC